GCAGGGAGCCAGTCCCCGTCACAGAGCTGTCCCTGTCCCATCTGCTTTGGCTCTGCCCTGCCAGGGAGTGAGAGGTCCCCCAAAAGTGGGATGCTCCGGGGAGTGTCCCCTGTCCAGCTGCCGTCCCCGCGTCCTCCCTGGCCCCAAGGCAAGGCACCCATGTCAGGGTGAGCGTTTCCCTCCTCTCTAATTTGAGGGTCCCCTCTCTGCCCACAGCGCGGCCGTCGGCATCGGCTTCTATGGGAACAGCGAGACCAACGATGGGGTGTACCAGCTGCTCTACGCCCTGGACCACGCCAACCACACCCTGACCGGCATCGACACGCTGGTAGGGCCGTGGGGCAGGGTCCCTCCACCCGACCCCCTCCATGTCCCCCAGGGGCACATCGATCCTCCACCCTGGGTTTGATTAAAGCACTGGGGAGGGAGGCATCCAGCTGGAGGGATCCAGGCATCCCACGTGGCTGGCCGAGCCCTGCCTGCTCCGGCCGAGCCCCTGGGGCGGCCATGCTGTGCCGAGCGCAGGAGGGTGACGTCACCCCAGAGAATGGGGCCTTTGTGGCCGGGAGGGGCCGGGGGGGCCATGGCAGGGATGTCCCAGGGGATGGATCTGGCTCAAGCGCGGGGGGTCAATGTGGGGCTGCTCTCCCGGAGGGTCGGCATCCTGCAAATGGGATGAATGTCTCTGCCGGGTGCGGGGCTGGCAGCAGGGAAGCCCCCAGCGCCGTCCCGGCACGCTGACCGGTCCCACCGGCCCCAGGTGGCGGGCACCACGCTGCAGATGCAGGTGGGGCTGGAGCAGCACCTGGTGCGGCTGAACGAGCTCCTGGCCGCACGGGGGGACTACGTGCAGACCCTCAAGTTCATGCAGCAGTTGGCTGGCAGCATCGTCCTGCAACTCTCAGGGCTGCCCGTCTGGCAGGGCACCAGCACCGACCTCACCGCGCTGGCCGGCGATGTCGCCTACGTCGAGTATTACCGGTGAGTGTGGCCACGGCACGGGGTTGCCGGAGCATCTCCCGGCAGGGCTGGGGTGGTAGGCACGTGTGATGGAGCCTTTCTCTGCTCCCAGGTGGTTGGCTTATCTCTTCTTCTTCATCCTCGTCCTCACTGTCTGCCTCCTGGCCTGCCTGGGGCTGGCCAAGCGCTCCCGTTGCCTCCTCACCACGTGAGTACCCCTTGGGCGGGCTCGGTGGTGCCGGAGCTGCCGGGGAGGGCAGGGCTGGACCCCATGGTGTGCTCACCCCTCTCCCCACAGGATGCTGTGCTGCGGGCTGCTGACGCTCATCCTCAGCTGGGCCTCCATGGCCGTGGACACGGCGGCAGCGGTGGTGAGCGGGGCTGGGAACAGACAGAGGGGTGGTGCTGGCTGTGCCAGGGCAGAGCCAAGGGCTGCAGGCGCCCATCCCGTCCTTCCCAGCCCCGATGAGGTCCCTCTCGACCCCACAGGGCACCAGCGACTTCTGCGTGGCCCCGGACAAGTTCATCATGAACCAGACAGAGAGCGACATCAGCGCAGGTGAGAGCCGGCTGTGGGGTGGAGACGTGCTCGGGGCAGGACCCCCGTGCTCCCCCAAAACCTACCTGGGGGTCCAGTGCTCTCAGCTGCTGTGCTGCCCACCCCTGCACTGCTCGTGGCCCCCTGGGGTGCTCACACCGGTGTCTCCCGTTTTGCTTTGCAGAGGTGGTTCGCTATTACCTGTACTGTGACCAGAGCCTGAGCAACCCCTTCCAGCAGGTACGGGGGGGCCAGCACCCTGCTTTGGGCTGCCTAGGGTGGGGGGTGGTCCCAGGCCGCTCAGTGACCACTCCCCCCTTGCAGGTTCTAACCGTCTTCCAGCGCTCACTCACCACCATGCAGATCCAGATCCAGGGCCTGATACAGTTTGCGCTGCCCCTCTTCCCCACAGCTGAGGTATGGGGTTGGGGGGAGCCGGGGCCCTATGCCCCCATCTCTGCTCCCCATCCTGCCCAGTGCTGCCCTGACACCCCCCTCTCCTGCAGAAAGACCTGCTGGGGGTCCAGCAGCTCCTCAACTCCTCAGAGACCAGCCTGCACCAGCTCACAGCCATGCTGGACTGCCGGGGGCTGCACAAGGTGAGGGGGGGGCCGGGATAGGGGCCTGCAGCTCCTGGGGTCACCCCCCCACTGCCACCAGCCCTGCCCCATCCTGTCTCCCGCTGCAGGACTACCTGGACGCTCTTATCGGCATCTGCTACGACGGGGTGGAGGGTTTGCTCTACCTGGTCCTCTTCTCCCTCCTGGTGGCCGCCTCCTTCTCCACCATCATTTGCGCCACGCCGCGCGCCTGGAAGCATTTCGCTGGCCGGTGGGTCTGCCCACGGCCCCTGCCTTCACCGGGGGGCACGGGGCTGGGTGCCTGGCCTGAGCTGGGCACGG